ACAAACACTACTGCATTACAACCTTTTAAATCTGAAATCTATTTTCATCTTTAACAAAGATTTGAAATTAAAACTGACTTTCAACTTTAACCAAACTTATTTCTGATTACTGAAGGATTAAGGTTAGAAATTAATTGGAACAAATGAACTTGGAATTAAATCAATCTAGACTTAATCACAACATAGAACTTAACAAAATCCTTAAAACTGAAACTGAAATAATTAATCAATATGCACATGAATGCAAACATCAGGAATGCAAGTTCATTGTCATTAGGATGACAATGTCCTGAAACCAAATGGCCACGGATCAAATATACACAACAACGTTTGACAAACTTTCTGTTTTAACAAACAAGAGTGCATTAATTGACGAGAACTAATTTAACTGACTACCTAAAACAAACGATAACAGTCAATACAAAATAAACAAATAGGCTGTTTCAATCAACAATAACAGGAACATGGACTTATAATAAAATAACTAATCGACGAACTTAATTAAATCGATTACACACATTGTAACTCATAGCAATTACAACAAACAGAAACAATGCTAGAATTTGATCGAATAAACGGGTCTAGTGGATATGATACAGAATTAAGTAAAAAAAATAGGAAAATTATACAGATTACTACAACAGGCAATAATACATACATAGAGTACAAAAGAAAAACAGGGAAAATACCTCTGAATCTTCAAACCCAAAATATGTCCTAATCTTGAATCGGTTTGAACCTTATTGAGGTCGAACGGACCTGAATCGAAGTATTCTAATTTGAGAATACTTCGATTAAGGTCCATTAGACCCCAAACCTTCATTTAATCGGACAAATTCCATGATTTGGAATTTTAGGGTTCCATTTTTTCTCGGATTTAGGGTTTGATCATTTCTGGGCAGATTTGAAGGGAATCAAGAGTGGTTTAGGGGTGAAGGAAGCTTGGGGGTCACCTAGTATGAATCTGAAACAAATCTGGCAAGTTCATGTTCGGCTCGAACCTTCAAAAGAAGATTCGAGGAGTTTTAGGAAGATTCGAAACAAACGATTGTTAGATCCATGGTGAGGGTGGTCAGGAGAAGCTATGGTGTTGATTTGGAAGCCATCGGAGAAAGTTGGGTTTTCAGACCAAACTTTGATCGAAGATTCGAGATGTTGGGAACTGATTCGAAGGATATAGGCTACAGATTTGGAAAAGGGAGGTCGAGGGGAAGCTATGGTGTAAAGATGGGGTCGTTTGGACCACCGGAACCGCCGTGAGGCGATTTCCGGTGGGCGGTGCACGGTGGTTGACGGTGGGGTTATGCTTGGTCTCTGAAGGAGACGATGAACAGGGAAAGGGGGGTGTTTGGTTTGGGGGGGGCTGGGGTAGAAGATTAAGCTTATATAGGGGAGGGGTGGATGGATCCTGGCCGTTGGATCAGGTGAGATTGATGGCCAGCATCTCTTCACTTAAGGGAACAATGCCGTTTTGGTTTAGTGGGGATTGGGTCGGTCTCAGATGGGGATGGGTCGGGTCAGGAGGGAAATCCTGGGAGCCATTGGATCAACAACGATGAACGGTCCTGATCAAATACAGCCATACGACGTCATTTGGTTTAACAAGAGAATTGAACTGGACCGTTAGATCGTCTTGATCGACGGTCCAGATGGAAAGTGCCAATACGGCGTCGTTTGGATTGGCTGCAGGTGGACTGGATTTGGCCGGGTATAGAGAAAGTTTTGGGTCTGATTTTTGGTTTAAAGTTTTTTTTTGGCCCAGATCTGATTGGCCCTATGTTTTTAATTCTTTTCATTTTCTTCTTTTAATTAACACTTTAACAAAAATTCTAAAAAAAAAAATATAAAACCAAAATCAAACTACAAAATATTAACTCTTATCAACAATTATCACACAAGTAAAAATATTTAAAAAATAAAATCACACGATGGCACACTTTAAATGCATATTTTCTTCTTTTAAAACCAACTATGGTTTATTTAATTCCTAAATATATTTTTATTTTATTTTATCCTTTTATATAAACCAATGATTAATTAATTATGAAAATGCACATGTACCTATATTACTATTTTTCTGTATTTTTCTTTAATTAGAATAAAATAAATATGTACTGATAAAATGCCACGAAAAATTCAAAATCGTATACAAAGAAAAATTATTTATGATTTCTTTTGGAGTAATTCTTGTGAGGCAAAAATCACGTGCTCACAATATATAATATATATAGTATACTAATATATATATTTGGTATAATGTACAAATATAAATAATAAATGTGATATATTAGTACTAATATAAATGATATATATTATGTATGTAAATAGATTATGTTATATATTACTCCAAATGTAAAACATATATTGATAACATATATTAACTATATTATACGTACATAATATAAATAATATGCGTTGAACATTATTCCAAATTAATACTAAAAGGTATATAAATATTGTGTTTGTGTGTGCGCTTATATATATTGAAAAGTAAAGTGTATATATAGACTCATAGCTGAGGTACTTGCAAAGAAACAAAAAACAAATTGAAAAGTAAAGTTTGGTCAAAGCCAATATGCCATCAATACCACATTTTTGAATAAAATGAATGAAATTTATTTTAGCCTGTGGAAAAAAACATGCAAGGATTGTAGCTTAGAAAGGCCAAAAGAGAAGGAGATTGTTTAGGAAATAATTGATTGTATTTTATATTGATTTTCTTTCTCTTACCTTAAATAAGGTTAGTCTCTTATTTTTGGGTGTTTGATTTTAGTTGGAGACTGCACTATTATGGTATATTTAGAATCAGTTTCCTAATTTGTAGGAAATCTACCGTATTTGATGTACTATATTTTTGTTGTAGAATATGTTATTCAGTTAAAAGTTGTAAATTATGAAATATTTTTTGAATTCATCAGTAAGTATGAAAATTTCTAGTCTAGTATATATAAGGTGTGTACTTTTACACAACACAAACAATTATATATTGATTTTTAATAAAGTAATTTACCAAGAAAAGAAAGGTACTTCAGCCTGAGAAGTCTCGTGCTGACAGGGTTTATGCCTTTTTGTGATTGTTTTCTTTAGTTTTTTACCTTTTTTTCCTCAAATGCGGTAAGTCTGTGAACAGTAATGGAAAGGAAAAGGTAGGAGAAGAGTGACTTTATTAGAATTGATGTGACATATGTATCATATATGTGAAGTTGCAATAACTACAATTCCAAGTGCTGCCTTCTCTTATGGTGCACAATGAAACACACTAAATACATGATATACTTTGCTAGCGTTTTAACATAGATTTAATTGATACTCGAAAAAAGAGTTTTTAAAATTTGTGTTGAAAGTAATTTTTGAAAGTTGAAATTGTGTTTGGACATACATTTTATTTGAAATGGAAGAAAAAAACTACCCTAAATCAGTTTGTGGAAACTTGAACAAAAAATTTTTTTTAAAAAAAGAGTTTTTAAAATTTATGTTGAAAAGTAATTTTTGAAAGTTGAAATTGTGTTTGGACATACATTTTATTTGAAGTGGAAGAAAAAAACTACCCTAAATCAGTTTTTGGAAACTTGAACAAAAATTTCAAAAAAAGATCATGTTCCATCAACAAATAACGTTTGTATTTTCTCATTGCTTGCCAGAAATCATATTTCTACAATTGGTAGGTCACCTGGTTATTCAAATAAGTCGTAATTTTTTGTAATTTTTCCATCTTGCAACTTTCGTACCAATTGGGTCGATCCGGAAGAATTTAGCTATAGAATTTTAAGTCCTTAATTCTTTGTTGCTTTCATTGTTTATATTATAGGTTTTCCATACTCTCTTCAAGAACTTTTCTGGCTTTAAGTTTAATATAGGCGTAAAAAAATTGGTAAAAGATTAAGTACCTAAAAAAGATTAGAAAAAAATGTATTGGACCAGTAAATTAGACAAAGGATTAATTATGTCTGCAGTTTAATGTTCCCCTTCTACGAGGGTTCTAACAATGGAGTAATGTATATGCCGTCAAATTCAAGATATGGTGACGTCTAACTATCACGTAGTTAATTGGAGAGCATATTTAAATCTGTCAATTTCATATTTCACTCTCTCAAAAGGCCAAGGTTTTCTGTATAGTACTATTACTATAGACTCGTTCATGCATAACTATTTGTGTATAATTACTATTTGATAGAGGTAAGGAAAAAAAACTCTCTATTAGAAGCACGATTTGTTTTTTTCTAATCAGGTATGGAAATAGAACAATAAATTTCTGATAGCGAATTACTTGACTCGATAGCGGGAAGGAGAGCCTTCCATTCAAACACAAAATCAATACTGTGTCAACAGTACCACTAAGTAACTCACAAAAGTCGTCATTTATGTTAAGATATTTTTGTATGTTTTTAAGTGTATTTTAAAAACTTGGAAGAAATATTACTCCGATCACTCCAGTTTAACAAAGATATCAACACAACTGAAGAATACATATACCATAGATTGAGGTAGTCTCAGCTTGCACTAAATGATAATTGTCTTTATCAAAATATTATTGATGATTGCAGGTTCCTATTATCTTAGGCGGGTACGCCAACTTTGAAGCATGCATTCAGAGAAGCTAATGGAGTAGCGGACACCTTAGCCAAGAACGGATGCAGCTTGGACTCTTTTGTTAATTTAATGTTGTACTATTATCCGCCTATTTTTGCTATTCCAGTTTTTGATAGAAATGGGATAGGCACTTTATGGCCTAGACAAATCTCATGTTGTAATAACTACTAAGTAAGTACTACGTTTTTTATAAAATGTCTTTATTTACTCAAAAAAAAAAAAATAACTTGCACTTAATGGTGGGTCGGGGGGGGAGGGGGAGGGGGATCCACCAACAAACAAAAAGCATCTTTCAATATCTGACATTTATGGTGTCAGCCTAGTATATTGTATAATCCGAAATGTAATTAGAAAAATAATGGGATGATATTTGATAGAATAAATAATGAGTTAAATTAAGAAAACTAGACTTAACAGATTAATTTATCTTAACATCTACTGAAGAATTCATGAAGCGGGATTACAAGACACCAAATTATGCATACAAAATAAAAGCACAAATCAAGAACCATAAAAATAAAAATAAAAATAAAAACAAAAACAAAATGAAGAACCATCATTTTCTTTACAAAAAAGATTAACTAGTCACTGTTGCAGGGAGGATCTGAGGACCACTTTTCTCCACTCAGTTGAATCTTGATATGGTTGGAATATAAATATTTTCATTTCTGCAGCAGATTTAATAATATGTTATATTCTCCAACTATATTAATGTAGAATAAATGAATTATGAGAAAAAGAAATACTAATACCTTTTAGAAAACATTTGTTTGTAAATCCTCCATCTCAGGGTTGATGTCTTTTGCCTCTTTCTCAGCTTCAGTTCCCAAATGAGGAGCATCTAGTTTTGGAGGGTTCTGAAGAGTTCTTTCACGTGTTATTCTCAAGTCTTTGGATGAAATATACACACAATATGAAAGAGTAAAAACATCCTATGACATACACATAGGGGCGGACATAGACCATTAGTTACAAGTTCGGACGAATCCAATAGCTTTTACTTATACCTTATATTTATATCAAGAAATCTTTTAAATAAGTATGAATATTTAATTGAGAAGTAACTAAGACTATGAATTCGGTGGCAAGTTCGGAAACCGCAAACTTCAAATTTTGGATCCATTTCTGTATACACACATAAATATAGTTCTCCGTCTAAGTTGAATCCAAGATCTAGAGTCAGTATGTTCAGAATGAGTGAAATCTTAATAGATGTCTATATTTTAAATTATTTTTTTGTATATATACACAATTCGAGCCCGAAGGCAATGGATTCAGTTGAACTCACTAATTCTGTCCGACATCCGCTGCGTCCCTAACTGTCACTGCTGTATATGATCAGTTGATTTAGATTCTTCACAGGTTTTTTTCAGTAAATAGTAAGTATATCATCTGACTTATAGTACCATTTTAAGAATGTTTGACACACAACAAATAACTTGAAATGGTAGCAGGATTCAAACATATGATGAGACAAGAAAGATTCACAAGCTAAAAGGAAAAGAGTTCATAACAATACCATGCATCGAACTAATGCCCAATTCACGCCTCGAAAGAATGGATGCTGCTTGATTTCGTTTGCTCCTTCGCGGGATCCTAACCTGTTTTTGGGATCTCTATGCAACAATCTATACATGAACTGCTTTCCTTGGAGACTAACCTGGAAAAGGAGAAAAGAAATAGACAGCTTTAGCAATTGGCAGAAAGAAAAAAAAAGGCGCTCCCACAAAAGGAAATGTCTCTACTTATCGTTGAGGCATTTTATTCGTTAGATTGAAAGATCATACCTGTATGCTTCCTGGGAATTTTAAATCCTTGTGTAATATATTTGAGAATGTCTTTTGCCTTGTCTTTCCCCTGAATGGTGTGTAACCGTACAGCATTTCGTATAAAAGAATGCCTACCAAGCGACAATTTTGCTCGTCAAAAATAGCAGAAACTTCTGAAGGGAGTATGGAGTGAAAAGGTCTAAATGAAGACAGAAGGATCAGGAAATATAAGCACTCAAAAGTTCAAATGGATTCTAAAGAATTACCAAGAGCCCACCAATCCACTGCGCTAGTGTGGCCTGCTCCAGTTATAATTTCCTGTGAGATAAACAAGCAAAAAGAGATGATTTAAAGAACAGGATATAAATGAATAAAAGCTTGACTTATAACACAAACTTAAAGTGTAGAAGAAAAAAGACTAAATTTTTGGAGCAAAATCTTGCAGTTAGTCATATAAGAATTTGTGATATTCAGAATAGAAGCATTGATCGTAGAAAACCAGCAGCAATAACTTACAAAATAAAACACTAAATGGAAAAGAAAAAGTCTAACCGGAGCTATGTACTCTTCAGTTCCGACAAAAGAATTTGATGCACGCATAGGTTCAGCCATGAAGATTGGATTCTGTTGACTTTTCTGATGCTTTTTCTTTTCGTTGATTTCTGGAAGTAAAAGCTGTCCAAATCACCAAAAACAGTGTATTGGCATTCATTAGTCACTAATTTTGTTTGCCAAGGCACTTCATGAAAATAAACGAGATTTGGTGAACTTGACAAAAGTTAGGAGTTAGCTTACCTGTGGCTTGCAAGATGTCAAACAGGAAAGATCAAAATCCGTCAAAGATATATGCCCACCGCTCTGTAGCAAGACGTTTTCAGGCTTCAGATCTCTGTAAATTATACCTGTTGGCAGAAGATAACTCAGGATATATGGAGATGGATTTTTCAACTCTTCAGACTTCGGATATGTTGCAGACTTAAGTGATAAATAGTACATATACTATGATTTTGCTCTGATCGGTATGCCATCTGCAGCATTGCCACATAACTGAATGATCACTCACCATATATATTCGTATCGAGCACTAACCATTCCGTACAACTAAAGTAAAAGTGAATGGTGCATATAGCTTTAAAGGAAGAACGTAAAGTAAAAAATAGATACATCAAACGTCGATTCATGAATATGAATTCTCCTCAATCGCAAATCGCTAATAAGGTATAGGTAATTGTTTGATCATGCTAGTCTAAAAATCAGTAGGATTGGACTAATAGAAAAGAATGAATAAAGACTTATTTATGATTCAGAATCTGATTGTACATATGAAACATGTGGATATAAGGGATACCTTGACAGTGAAGGTACTCCAGGGCCACCACTACTTCAGCGGCATAGAACCTGCGGAAAACAAAAAAGTTTAATATCACCGGATAACGGGGCAGCAAAGCTGGCGTAACATTGTCTATCTACCGAAATTGGCACCTATAGATATTAATGAAGAAGACAAAAAGGAAAAAAAAAATAGGGATCACAGGAACTAAGTGACTCAAATTGGCTAAGAAGCAGACGAAATGAAAAATATTTTAATAAATGTTTAAAAGACCATGAGAATATGATAGTATTAAAGTCTCAACAAACTCTGTAGAATGCTTCTCGGATAGGTATAACTGTAGACAGTTTAGTTCTTCAAATTTGTTTTTACATTTGGTTTACCTTGCGGCGTCTTCCTTCAACACCTTTGTTGGTTGTCTGTCTAGAAGCAGGAACAGCTCTCCACCAGGGTAGTAATCAGTTATCAGACAAATATGGGTTTTGGTCTGAAACAAAGACATATTTAATAAATCAGAATTGAGAAAAGAAAGAGCAATAAAAGAGATGATTATGAAATAAGTGATAAGGGTGGTTAAACTTTTTCACACTCGAAATCAAAATAAAGAATGAATATGTTGGCATAAGTATACTCAGGTGGATATTATCGATTCATTGAATTCATCAAGTATCAAATGCCCATGCTATAGTACAGTTTAGTTTGAAGGATTCAAGTGTATATGTGATTTGTATTTCGCACTCATAACATTTTTCTCAAGTTACTACTACTAAATAATAATGCTCCCTCTCTTCAAGTTCTATGTATCTAACCTGAAAAGATGCATAGAGTGCGGGAAGAAAAGGGTGGTCCAACATATCTAGGATTTCTCGTTCTGCACAAGCTCTATGCACCTGTAGAAAAGATAAAATGATCCTTATCAAGATAGAAGAATGAGAATTTAAGCTAAGAAGCCAAAAAGCGAAATGATCCCTTCACAAAGATGCCGGGGGTCATAACACAAGAAAAATTCTATGCAAACACATAACTTTGCAAATGCCATGACAAGGCGGGAATATAAGTAAAAATCTCCAATCACTAAAGATACAGCGACAAGTTGGATGTTGCAATGTAGATCCCTACCTTGTTTCGATTAAGCATTATGCTCTTATCCATTGCTTTCATAGCAAAACATTGGCCAGTTCCGCACAGTTCCACTAAATGCACGCTGCATATTAACAAGTTATACCACAGTTAACCAAGAGAACATAAATAGTCCCTTCAAATAAAAATTTAAGGCAGACATTGACTTGTTTCTATAGACAAAGATTTAGGAGCCAGGAAAATCAGCAATACTCTTCATTCAAAATCTAAGAACTTTATAGCAGTATTATGGAAACTTTTCTCGCATATCAAATCAGAGCGCCACCACAATTATCTTCTTGTGGAATCTTGTTTAATCTCTTTATATTCAGAAATTAGACAGGGGTCAAAGCTGGAACTAGCATCATTTTCAAAAATAAACTCCCTATACAGTTTAGGACACAATTATTAGTTAATAATTGTGTTACTGATGGAAAGTTGTGGCATGCAAATTATATAAATTAGATTTTACTTGTAAGTTGAAATACCACTGAATCAAATCTCAGACCTAGTATTTTGTTTTACAGTTTTACTTATTCAGAGAAACGGATAACAATATGTGGCATATTATAATACTTGATCCACTTGAAAGTGGAACTAGTAAAACCAACCTGCCAGTATCACCAGATCCCAGTGGTTTGATTGGCTTGAAATGCTTCAAGCCTATGGGTTCTCCACTGTCCAAAACCTGCATTTCATAAGCCTCTCAGTAATGAAAGAGGCGGTAAAACCTCAAGCTGAAATTAATCAGTGGAAACAAAAATTATTCTACAGAGTTTCCACAATACCGACAAAATGATTGGGACATTTTGATCTTCATATGATTTAAAAAACTCAGAAAGCTAGACATAATATTGCATAATGGAGGAATGCTGTAACACTGAGATATTATCACTGTTCTGAGCAAACATTTTCTATGTGCACATATATACCTGTCTATAGAAAGCCAATTGATGAGCGTAAACTAACTTTCTTTTTACCTTTTGTATTGCTTGCCAAGATGGGCTGTCCTTCCTATGAGGCTTTGCATGAACAACTTTTGAATGATTTCTCCATAAATCCTCTGGTTTCTGCAGGTCAGCTTAGCAGTTTGTGAGCCTTGTATAATTCAACACCTACAAATAATCTCAAACAGTTTTTGTTCAAAATTTTGGATTTACCGAATTGGCATCTGGAAGTTCTCGAACTGCGTCATCAACATTTTCAGCGGTTTCTTTCACCTGAAAACGAGCCAAATGAAAACCATTATTGACAAGATAGTGTTGAAATGTCAAATATTCCAGCTTCACAAGCTATTGGAGTTATTAGCAGATATATGCACAATCCAGGGAAGGAGCATTGGCAAGCTGTGAAGTGGATTCTACGGTATATTCATAATACTGTAGATGTCGGATTAGTTTTTGAGCAGGAAGACAATCAGTTTATAGTTGGATATTGTGACTCAGATTTTGCGGGTGATATGGACAAACGAAGATCAACTACTGGTTATGTGTTTACTTTTGCAAAGGCACCAGTTAGTTGGAAGTCTACTTTGCAGTCAACAGTTGCTTTGTCTACAACAGAGGCAGAGTACATGGCTATTACAGAGGCTGTGAAAGAGGCAATTTGGCTTCAAGGATTGCTAAAGGAGCTTGGTGTTGAACAAAAAGGTATCACAATTTTTTGTGATAGTCAAAGTGCTATTCAATTAGCGAAGAACCAAGTTTATCATGCAAGGACGAAGCACATTGATGTTCGGTATCATTTCGTACGAGAAATCATAGAAGAAGGTGGAGTCACAGTGAAGAAAATTCATACTACGGAGAATCCTGCTGATATGCTGACAAAGGTGGTGACTGCGATCAAGTTTCAACATTGTTTGGATTTGATCAACATTGTTGAACACTGAAGATTGAAGATGAAGACACAACCAAAATTTGTTATTGAGAGAAAATTGAAGATGTGGAATTTTGCCAAGGTGGAGAACTGTTGAATTTGACAAAATGTTTGTCCCACATCGGTGGGAAAACAAAAGTTGGGGGGATTTTCCCCCTATAAAAGAAGGCTTAATGTTTAGGATTGAAACACACCTCTCATTTGCCTTCTCATCTGTTTAAGGCATTTGTATCTTCTCTCTTTAGTATTATTTCACTTGTATTTTTGGAGTGGAATAAAATATTGGTTGTGTCCGAGGAGTAGGCAAAATTAGCTGAACCTCGTAAATTCTGGTGTTCCCTTTATTGTTGCTTTATTGTCTTATTTATTATTTGGTGGCTGTCATAATTTTTGGTATAGTAGTTGTGACTTATTCACACTATATACATTTGGCTTCCGCAACAGATAGGCCACTGAATATTATATTGACACATTATAAAAAAGTGATCATTCATGAGTAAATTTGTATATGCCATATCTACGAGAGTACGAGACATAAGCGAAAAGCATTGCAAAAACTTATGTGAAATAAAGACAACTGAAGAAGAGTAGAGTAGAAACGAGACCAGCTTTGCACTCTCTGTTGCCTTGTCTTCGGGAATACTGTTGTGAAGTGGCTCTACATGCTGACTCCCGTCTAGTTGCACTCCGATGAAGTATTGTACCTCTCCCTATTTATACACACAAAAGCCATTGAATAAGGATTTTTAAAAGTGTTTGTGCAATACCTTTAGAGCAGCAGCACTTTTATCTTGACATCAGGAACTATGTGAATACACATACCTTCTGATCACGCATAGGCTGCAAGTGGAACAAATTCCAGAACTTCTTGCCTGAATTTTATATGGAATATCAGTTGCTTCAACAATAAAAAACTTTGCATTTCTGACCAAAAAATCTAAAATTCTCATGATGTCATTCATTAGTAACCTATATAACTAATGACAAGTTCACTGATGGTGTAAAAAGATTTTACATTGTCAAGATATAATTCAAATCCAAAAAGAAAATCTTAAGTTTGACTTCTCTTTCTAAAATGGGAGGAAGAATGGAAAGTTTATTGAGAGCATACCAGTCTTAGTGTAGTTAATGAGCTGAACAGTGACATCAGTTTGATTATCAATTGCTTGTCTGATTTTCTTCACAGTAGCTGGATCAGTTTCTGGTCCTTGAAGAAACCTATAGTATAACAATTTCAAAACCAAACATCAGTAAATTTTGTATAAGTGAGACACATACGAAACTTTGATCAACTCAAAAATTCTGGGTCTTTTTCTGTTTTCCCTTTTTCTTTGGTATAAGTGTGCACCAGCAACTGTCATCACTGTGTCACCAACCAGAAGCAGTATTATGATTATCAACAAACTTCTTTCTTGAGATTGCGTGTTGTTTCATGCCCCATCATTTAAAGTAAGAATAACACTATTTTCCGCATTTACACTTAGTATTACACTCTCTTTTACTGGAGTATAATTTTTTCAGATAGTTAAAAATATTTTAATTTGGCTATAAAATATTGGATAGTTTTTAAATATATTCATTAAATAAAAAATAAATGCTGACTGTGCTTCAAATAGGTTTTTTTTTTTAAAAAAAAAAAGATGAGGACATTTTTACTTTTTACTTTACGGGTTTAATAGCTTTAGTTAATAATTTATATACATTAAGTTAGCTTTTTGGGTCTTTAAAATTGTCAATGACATGGCAAAATTAAAAGAAAATAAATACCTGCAGTTTCTACCCAAGATTTCTTCACGGCTGTACTCTGTCAGCTCCAAGAAACTATCCGATGCAAATATCTGATTTATCCACACACAATTCACCGTCATACACAAACTTATAATTAATTTGGAGCTAGAAAACTCACCAAATGCTTTTGATTTTGAATAAAAAAGAGAGAAATTAAGTCTTACAATGGGATTATCAGGCAGCCTTGGATCAGTAATGACAAAGTTCTTCTCTATTCGTTCAAGAGTCGTTGCTAAATCAATACCTTTCCTCATTTCCTTCTTCCTCACTTTATCATCAACACTATCAGGGCGTCCATCATTATCGCTCTCATCATCGTCGTCATAGTCGTCATCATTATCCATAGTCATTCTTGCCTCAAAATCATCATCAGCAGTTGTAGTACTAGAACGACCTTTCTTTTTAATCCTGTACTTAATTACACCACATATAATAAGTAATGTTAACATTTATATGAACGTGTATGCATGCATGCATGATAAACATAGGATTACACTTTAATTTAAAGAGTTTAAGTTCTACATATTGACTGTGGAAAAGAATTTAATTACCCGATGAAAGAGAGGCGACTAGGTTTTTTAGGTTTCTTGTCGGGGATTTCATTAATTTTCTCCATCTGCATGGTTGTTCTGGTACCAGCATGAGAATGTCTTCTTGCTGGAGCTTTGTTCTGTAAATTTAGTTTATTACTGATGCCCATAATATCCTGTCGGTCTTGTTCGGTTCCACCTCCTTCTGACTTTCTCAAGAGAGGGCGATTTGTCGATTCACTTAAGGCTCTTGCCCTTGGTTTTTTCATTACTTCCAGTAACTCAGTCACTGAATTACTAGCCATCTCCTTCTGACGAGCTGCCAACAAAAACACCATAATAATATAATATACATAAATTTTAATTTAATTTTTTTTTGGTACATATTACCATTTATAACAAAATCAGTACACCTAAAGAGCACTTAATTCCAAAACCACCTTCTAGGAAGGGTGCTGTGGAAACTAAGCCTCTAGACAAATACTAATTACAATTATGTAGTGAGCTTTAAATTTTTTTAATTATTATAATACTACAAAATAAAGGTTTTTTTACACCTATGATTCCAAGTTCCTTTAAAGATTTCCATGGTAGCAAGAGAAATATTCTAAAACACTTTTACTTAATTAGTGAACAAACTTCACTACTAATTGAGAACATGCCTTTCTCAACCTAGAAGATATGCTCTTAATTAACCTCCCTAAACTAACAATTAAAGTAAACTAATAAAAATGATTGATCACATTAACATCCTCGTCTTTGTGAAGGTAATTTTCTTATAAGTTAAACCAAATTAATAGCCTGTTTGGCCAAACTTCTCTAAGCCAAAAGCAATTTTTTTTTAAAAAAAATAAAAAAAGTATCTTTTATTCACAGTTCATGAGGTGTTTGGCCAAGCTTATAAAAGAAAAAAGTATTTTTGAGTAGAAACAAAATAAGTTTTTGAGAAGCAGACAAAATTAGTTTCTCCCAAAAAGCACTTTTTAAAAAGAACTTTTGAGAAAAAAATACTAATTAACCAGAAACACTTTTTAAAAGTTTGTTCAAACACTAATTGCTACTTAAAAGTGATTTTTAAATTAATTTGCCAAACACAAACTGCTTCTTACCAAAAGTATATTTTTTGAAAAGTATTTTTAAGAAAAAAACTTAAGCTGACTTTAGAAGTTTGGCCAAACAGGCTATAAGCATCCGCGTTGTTTCTCATAATGCCTAGTTGCCTACTTCTACATTTGTCTTTTAAAATAAAATGAATCAAATGCCTCTTAATTAAGTCAATTATAAGTTAAAAATGCATTAGTACAAAGTAATTGTACAAGATAGGAAAAAGTGGTGAAGAAAGCTATAATACCGTCGTAGCGTATCAATGATTCGGGAAGCCCATTTGGTCGGACCATCTTATCCTTTGCGCCTTCAGTATGCTTGCTTACTTCTACTTGCATTCTGCCAAATTTTCATATTGTCATAATCCAAATTTTAGGAACATAATAATTTATTGGATATATTTATTGACACGCACCTGAATTTCACAATTTTGAGGAAAAAACATAAATCTCAAAGATTTTTATTTAGCAATATAAGTAGGGAAATGTACATTACTTAACAAATTAACTTGATGTAATAATAAATCGTGGTAGGTAGCTTCGAAACTCTTAAAAGAAAAAAAGAAAAATAGAAAAGTAAAGGTGCAACTATGTATGAACAATTTAGGCATTACGTTAACTCCTAGGGATAGATTAATACCATGTAATGAGGATGTTTCTGATTTCTCTTTCCTTTTTCATTTCATTTTGTTTGAGTCTTTGAGACTTCATCAATTCACGAACGATTGCATAATTTTACCTTTTTAATGACTTTATTTTAGAATAAATCTTTAAATACTTTTTCTGTAGTTTTAAGCCGAGGATCTATCAAAAATAATCTCTCTATCTGCACAAGGCAAAAGTAAGGCTGTGTATTTTCTACTCTCCGCAGATCCTACTTGTGGAATTGCATTAAATATGTTGTTGTTGTAGTAGTTTTTCTAAAGTAAAGTAGCAACTTCATGAGTTTGCTATCGCTCAATCTCAGGAATTTTGCACGTGGAAAATTAAACTCTAAAAACCACAATAAAATTGGGGTATTATCACTTTTAGCCGCGCCAGAAACTATTTACATTTGATAGCTGAAAAAGTGTAAAATTTGTATAAGTTTTGTATATAACATACAGAATGTATATATATACAAAAAATATACAAATTTTATACATTTTTCGACTATTATTTTTACAGTGACTATACAGTATCATTTTTCCAATAAAATTGGACCACACCATTAAGCCCACCACAAGTTCTGTGAGTGCATGAGAATGACTCCAAAAATTGACAAGTAAAAAGGATGCAATGGCAATAGTCTAGTGGGGCTTTATGCATATTTTGGTTCCCTATTATCATATCAAGAAAATGTAGCCCAATCCAAACAGTCCAGAACAAAGCTTTATATTTAAGGCCCACTACTATCTTCCATCTTAATCATGTATTGAATCTTTTCAATTCCGATGGCCATGGATAAGGTGAGGACAGGGGTCCAGCTGGTTACCAAAGAAAATCAAGAATTATTGAAGAGATAAGGGAACAAAAATACATTGCCACAACATCCCCATTACTTACTATAGTTTTTCACATTTAAATTTTGAACAATTATTCAAGTATATCGTTCTCCAAATTACTGCTCGACTAATTTATATTAGGGCAGCGTAGGGTTCATTAAAGGGAAACACTCTGTATTAAGAATTTCATCCGAGAACTTGAACTCGAATCTTTCAGTCAAGGGTTGAGAGGTTACATCCGTCCTATCATATCTATTGGTAGTGTATGATATTTTCATCTTAACATTATGTAAATTTACCAAATGTAAGTCAATGGCGGATCTACCGTAGGAGGCATGAGTGCTGAAACAGTCATTGACTTTGGCCAAATTATGTAATATATCCATAGATAATACCTAAAAGATTCAGTAATTGACCATGAGCAGCCACTATGATCATGTTTGACTAGTAGAATTTAAACTAAAATAAGTGAAGTATCCGTGACCTATAATTCTGGATCCGTCACTGATGTAAGTATGTACTCTCAACTAGCCGTTGACGATGATATATATATATATATATATATATATATAATTTCAAAATCAATTGTAGCAAAATTTGTACGTAAAAATGGGTTGATAACCTGGAAAATAGAGTAAAAAAATGGTTTCATAACCTAGAACCGAGCAAATGTTGGAGTAAATATTTTTTACGTCATCAGTAATCACACATGTATCCGTAGTAATCATTAATTAAGGTAAATAACAAAAATTGATTAGACTTTTACCCAATGAATTTGAGAACTTTGCCAGCCTCATCTTTGATAGGTGCAATTGTGAGGAGATTCCAAAAGGGGGTCCCATCCTTTTTGTAATTGAGTAATCTTCCACAATAAGTCGAACCCGATTGCAATGCTTCTCGGATCTTGGCCACATCCTCAGGATCCGTATCCGAACCCTGCATGAACCGACTAGACGCGACCCAACAATAAAACCAACAAAAATTGTCATATATTGTTATTTTCCTGAAATAACCTTTATGACATTGTCAAATAAAAAATATAAACCAAAGTATATCGTAAGTATATGATTATTACCAATTCCTGCCTATAACCTCCTTTGATGTATAACCAGTCATTTTGAAAAATCCAGCACTTGCATACAAAATCGGGTAATCGGGTTTTGTTGCATCCGACACCACAAATGTTTGTTGAAATGTTGATAAGGCATCTCTCAAATCCTCTGAAACCCTTGGAAAACCCCTCTCTTTACCTGAATTTCAGTTCAGGAACTGATCATATTTTAAAAAAGAACTAAATTTTACGTAAGGTTATATGGTTGATAAATTTATACTTAGATTGACAACATAAAAAATAAAGTAAATAAAATGAGCTTGTATGTATATACTGATAGTGTAATTTGTTAAATTCGTGTAACAATGCTTACCAGCTCCATCGTCAGAAAACTCGCCGGAACTCCGAACAGAGTTACCGGAGTTCCTTCTAGAATTCTCAGCTTTACCATTAGGATCATCTCCAGAATTTCGAACTTTAACTCCTTTTAACTTCCCAGTTTCATCATCAGTTTTCAGCACCAGTCCCCACTCCGCCGCTCTCTGAGCAGCAGCTCCATTTTCATTCACCGCCGCCGCTGCCGCCGGCGAAATTGCCGTCTGAGTAATCGGAGAAGCCAATTGCGACGTTGAAATTGGAGTAATAATTGGGTCTTTGATTGCCATCCATGACGTGGCAGTAGTTTCCTCTTTAATATCATTATTACTGGATACTATAGGCTCTGATTCTTCTTCTGTTTCAGGGATGCTGCTGCTTCTTTTAATGGGCTCGGGCTCGGACTCGGCCCAATTATTTTTCCACGACGGCTGTGATGATCGGAAAACTGGATTTTTTGGCCGGGAAATAGAGTAAGTTGATGGGTTGAATACTTCTAGTGAGCCTCTTGGATCTCTGGGGAGTGGTGGTATAAGAGGAGGAGATTGCTTGTTTTGCTGTTGTTCCATGTTCTCTGCGTATAATAATAACTCTATTTCTCATGTCTGTATCGGTGATATATATGTATACTCACTATGATCTTTATATGTACATGATATTTATCTAAGTCTTAGCTCATTTACACAAGCATATAGTAGTATTATGAGTAGTATTTACTCCTCCATTTTATATTTTATATCGTCACAGCTTGATTGGACGCAAAGTTTAATAAGAAAAGAAACAATTTCGGGCACGTACCAAAAATATTATGTAGTCTAAAACTAGGTCATGATGTTATTAAGGGTTAAATAGAAAGTTTAAAATTAAAAAGCTTTTAAATATATAACTGTGTCAATATTTTTGGAATAGATTAAAAAAAATGTGTCATATAAATTAGAATGCATAGAGTAATTAAGTATTCTATCAGTGTATAAAATTTAAAATAACAATTAAATCAACTTGTACATTTGTGGTAGGTACAAAAGTGTCATGATAGTTGTTAAGATAAGCATTGGACCTAACTCATACGCCAAAAGCTAGCTAAAGGGAAGAGGATTGTCCGAATCTTATAAAGAGATCAGAGATAATCTCATCCCGGTCCGACGTGGGATTCATTCCATTCATCAAATAGATGATGATTTCACAAATATATCTTATCTCTATGTTCTATTTTATATTTATATGTGACTGTATACGAAGGTTAATAAAAATAAAGACTTTTGACACAAACTAAATATAAAAATCAAATATACCAAAAAATATTTTTTATTGTTGTGAACTTACATGTTATGTCATTGATATAAGAGAGTGTAAATAAGGAATAAGGACAAAACATAAATGTCAAAATTAAAGAATTTTCAACTATCGAAATTTGTCAGATTACAAGTCATTGTAGCTAAGGAGATAGGAGTAATACTTAATAACAGTAGAATGGCCCGTGGGGGCAGATGACTGAAAAGGGCAAGACTTAGAAGCTTGAAAATGAAAATTTGTAAGTGTTGTACGTATGACAATAACAAGACACAAACAAGGATCACACTAGGATGAGATTTGAGGTGAATAGAGACATAGATAAGGGTGGAATAGGAAATTTAATTGCTAACTTTTAAATAGTATGTGTTCACTATAGTTCCCAACATGGAAAGAACACTTGAGAACCTCATATTTAAAGGGGTAGTTTTGTCAATGAAGGGTAGATCAGGATATTCACCAAAAGAGTCCAAAAATAAGATTATAAAAACAGCTAAAAGTTGCTAAAAAAATCACAATTCACAACTTAGTTCCAACTTTTATTACATGTCCAGTAGTTAGCTATTTAAAGCACTCTAACCCTACCACGTTCTATCTTGACAACGACATTAGACGAATATTAACCTCAATTGTTATTAAAAAAAAATTGTTTATTGCTTGCCAAAAAATCTTACTTCTAATCTTAAATCATATGATAAAGAGGTTATGGGTTCGAATGGTGGAAATAGTCTTTTGTAGAAATACATGATAAGATTGTGTATAATAGATCATTTGTGATTCGGCCCCTGCGCGAGAGCTTAATGCACCGGATTACCCTTTAAATAATTGGAGTTTTTGTGTAGAAGATAGAATATATTAGCTCTTGTTAGCTTTCATCAAAGTTATTATAAATGCATGAGTCCAGCAAAGATATATAAAGAACAAAGCTATTTGGACAATACGTATTTTCGCTACAAATTGTATTGTTTGCCATTATTTCATGATTTCATGCACTAATAATACGAAGAATAAACTTGCAAAAGAAAGTAAAACACAAGATCGAATTATTATATAAAAAGGTAGGATATACCAGATAAAATAGGATTATTTAATAATAAAAAGGGGCAAGTTGGGGGAAAAAAGAAGGTAATAACGTGATCCCATCTAATTGGTCGTTACTAAAGTGGTTTTTTCATTGTTACGTAACAACGAATTTAACGATATAATAAAATAAAATTTAAGTGAATCAAAACAAATATTATATTTATAAAATAACAATACGCTTCAATACAACAGAACAGATCACAACCATCCAAACAAGTTGTTAGTCCAGTCCAAATTAACCCTAAACCAAAGAAGGGCTAAACGAGGGCCATAGCGATATAGTACTGTTCATAATCAAGTATGTTTAAGCTTTGATGAGATGTGAAATATACACATTAACAATAGCCGTTCAAATTTAATATTTACTTTTTTAGTCGGTATACATAAATTATACACAGTTATACATATATTATACAAGACATATATATACTATATATCCTTCAACTGTTTTTAATTTAACAAATTAGGTGGGCGACCATTTGGATTAATCGAAAAGAAATTAAAGCATGCATGCAGTTAGGAAAAGTAGTTCAAAAGATTTGATCCAATGTATTAGATGAACATATATAATAGAAAAAAAAACTGTGTATTTTATCTATAACATCAAAATTGATCAGAGTACACAATGATCACTAAATATTGTCAAGAGAGTGTACATACCTGAATAGAAAGTGGGATACTGAGCTTTTGCCTTGATTGCAGGAGTAACCAGAGAGTTAAGTAAGTAGATATTAAAGTGTATGCAGCCTTTACACAGAAGCTGATCTTATAAATAAAGAAGTTTCTCAAATGATTTAAAAGCATATAGTATAATGGAAGAGATAAATGATGGGTTCGACAAAAAGATCTATATCGAAATGGGAACAATTTTTACTAGCAGAAAAGGCTAAGAAGATCAGGGTAATTAAAAAGAAAAGCAAGAAGGGAGAATGATTGTCTTGAAATATTGGCTTCCCATGCCTTTACACCTCAAATTCACATGCTTAGACACTCATCCCTATGTCTTCACTCCAATCATCAACCCAATACAAACACACTTTTTACATCAATTTTCTAGCTTCCAAATCTTGTTTCTGTTTATAAATTCTCTCTTTCTTTCTTCCTTTCTATCTGTCTCTAAGTACTAGTATATGTATATATCAGTCTCTCACTTGTACTGCTTATTACACTGATGAGTTGTGGGCTTTGATATTTTTGACAGACTGGGATTTGAAATGTATCTACTACTTGGCGACAAAAGATTTTAAAAGGAAAAGAGAATGAAGATATTGTACCCTACTCATGTGAATATCATTTGGATTTAAGTTATATATTAATTTTTTTACACCCCCGATGGTAGCTAGGTTAAGTTACCATTTTAATCATGTTAATACTTAATCTTATCATAAAAATTTACTCATAATTACCTTATAAGTAATCTGATATACAATGCTATAATTTGTAAATATTTTTTTTACACTTTATTGAACTTAAGCACATGTCATTTAGGATGGGGGCAGATGCAACTTTCTTGTTCTCTATCGTTCTTGCAGTTGGAGACCCCCCCCCCCCCCCACCCCGGAAGTAAGCTTAGCTGGCTGGGCTACTCACCCAGTTTCACTACATATACTCTCATGTTTGTCTCTCAATTGTTGGATAAATAAAAGGTTAGACCCTTTTGGTGCCATGTACTTTTATTGTAAGGGCCAGGGTCACCAACCAGGATTGTAGTGGAATAATACATACTCCTTCATCTTTAACCAGATGTTCTGGGTTCGAGTTCCTGAGTATTGAGTCGCCTTTGTTAGGGAGCGCTTTACCCCCAACGTGAGATTTTCCGGCGTGAATCCGAATTTAGTCGGCCCCAATATGGGTGCCGGATACCGAATGGAAAACCAAAAAAAGGGTCAGAATCGTTTAGTTGCTGATTAGAGTTATCTATTGTATTAATAATATAGGAATTAAATATGCGTTGTTTGGTTATACAGAGATTTGTTAGGTAGGATTTTAATTATACCATCTTTTATCCCGCATAAAATTATATATAAATTGACTCATGACTTGGGATTGTAAGATGATAACCAAACACTACAGAGTAATTAAAAAGTTACCAAACGTTATACTCCTATATTAGTTATATTAAGTTTAATGCATAAATAATTCCCTTCCTAACCAGCAACTAATAGACGCCTCTTAAGAGTTTAACTTGTTATGTAAATTATAAAATCATCTCGAATTCGCCTTTGTGCATATCTACGTCCACTTCTCTTTCTTTCACGTAGTATTGTAGTAACTTCTTGCTGCCTTACTTTAATCTGACATGAAATGCCCATACAATGGTAGGTACAATATTAGCCAGAGAAGAGAGTATTGGGCCTTAAGGGCATGTGATGATTAGAAAAGTCATGTTTCAATGTTGGTACAATAAAAAATAATTTATCTTTTCTTGAGTTTTTATTTATTTGTTGTATTAATTAGGTTTTTGAGTTGTCAATTTACACTTCCATAGTCCACGTAAGTCCAAATCCTATCTAAGATATTGTACGCAGAATAATTATTGAGGGCGAAGAAAATATTTCCATATATAGATAGGAACATAATTTCTTCTTCAGGGATTGGATCTTTAATTTGTAGTTGTGGTTGTAATGCGAGTTTTGTCAGTTTTATGAATATGTAAATATTGATCAAGTATAACTAGAACCAGACGAAGTCGAGCGTTGGAGCAACGATAAAGTTGTCTTTGTGATCTATAGGTCACTGTTTCAAGCCGTGGAAGCAGCCGTTAATGCTTGTATTCGAGTGGAATGTCTACATCGTACCCATTGAGTTGCGGCCTTTCCCCAAATCGTAGGTGAATGCGAAATATTTTGTACACCGAATTACCCTTAATTATAACTAGAATCATATATATACTTCATAATCCACACACAAGTTCTTTGTGCAAGTGTTTTACATATTTTGTGAGGTCAAATGGCTTAATCGCGTTATACTCTATTGGTTTGTAATTGAATCCAGAATTCTGTTGTGTAAATTCCACTCTATCGTCCCATAAGATCTAAAAAATTTAATTACCTTTTTTCACGATCATGTCAAACTTTTCTGAGTTATCAGTTTAACTAGTAACGAATCTAGAATTTAAAGTTTGTAGGTTTTGTTTTTTATACATGTATTAATCAATCACATATAGTTTGAGTTAGATACAATTTGCATCGTCTAGTCTAAGTTTGCCACTAAACCTAATGGAGGTCAGTGACGGATCTAGATATGAGATATACGTTCATATGAACTTAGTAGTTTTTTATAGATTTTATATATGTATTAAAAATTTACGAAATATGTATGAATATTTCACTATGAACTCGATTATTATTGTATATTAATTTGAGGTCATTGTAAAACCCATAAACTTCAAATCCTGAATATGGTGATTGAGTTAAAACTATTTGTTGTAAGTTTATCCGGCACACACATTTAACATTCAATAGGCTGGTTGGTAGAATGTGTGTGTAGTTTGTGAAACGCATTTAACAGAATATTTTGATAAACAAGTACATGATGTATACATAAAGTTAGCATTTATGTACAAAAAGGTCAAGAATACACAATATTTATTGATAAAATCACTAGATAATAACCTCTCTACTTATTACTTCTTAGCCTTTTCTCCGTTGAGGCAGGAATTTATGCTATTAATTGGAGAAACTTATAGTATAGCCACTCCCAAAAATATATATTCTGCTGACTATTATTTTAAGTTCTACATTTTTTATAATAGTCGGTAAAATATATATTTTTGTATAGCAATGTACAATATTCATATTTTATATTCTTCCCGTTTCAATTTATGTAAATCTATTTGATTGGGTACGGAGTTTAAGAAAAAAAGAAGACTTTTGAACTCGTGGCTATAAATTATTGGAGTAAAATGAGGCACATATTTTATGTGGCTATAAATCATTGCATATAGGTAATTTTTACTATCAAATATGAAAATGGATCATTCTTTTTAGCACGGGTTAAAAGGAAATAAATTCACATAAATTGAAACAAAATACATACTATGTTTTTTGTATATTTAACTGACCGGCCAAATATGTAACTTGTCCTTATTAATTCTAAGGCAATGGTAGGACTTAGGGCTTTTAGCGTCACATTCTAGTGGTTCGTGTACAATAAGATCGGGGCATTTGCATCTATACCCGCTTTTTATGCCACATTTTAACTTGTGCCCGCTTTGCAAAAAAATTGCAAGCGTACCTGCTTTTTCGCATAACTTCAGCATATGGGGCTGAAGTAGCAAAGGCAATCACGCAAAACTTCAGCATTCTAGTAGCCGGGCCTGAAGTTCAGCTCTAGAGCTGAAGTTTTTGTGTTGTAAATGGGAAACTTCAGCTCTAGAGCTGAAGTTTTTTTACCACCTATTAATATTACATACTAGAGCTGAAGTTTTCAGTTACAACACAAAAACTTCAGCTCTTCATACTAGAATGTGATGCTTCTGGCAAAGGAATATGTGTTGTTTTGATGCAAGATTCTAAACCTATTGCCTACTTTAGTGAGAAGTTGAGTGGAGCCANATTTTGCAGATTGTAAGTTAGGTCCTTTTGAGAGGTTTAACCTACAAGATGGGTTTCTCTTTAAGGAAAATAAGTTGTGTATCCCTAATTGCTCTTTACGTGAAGTATTTGTAAGGGAAGCACATTGTGGAGGACTTATGGGACACTTTGGAGTCCCAAAGACATTAGACATACTTGCTAAAAATTTATTTGGCCTGGAATGAGAAAAGACGTAGAAAGAATGTGCACACAGTGTTTGGAATGTAAACAAGCTAAATCTAAAGTGTTACCACATGGTCTTTACACGCCATTACCTGTTTCTACTTCACCTTGGATTGATATTTCTATGGATTTTGTGTTAGGTCTGCCTAGAACAAGGTATGGTAAGGATAGTATATTTGTTGTGGTAGATAGGTTCTCCAAAATGGCTCATTTTANCCGCCATTACCTCTTCCTACTTCACCTTGGATTGATATTTCTATGGATTTTGTGTTAGGTCTGCCTAGAACAAGGTATGGTAAGGATAGTATATTTGTTGTGGTAGATAGGTTCTCCAAGAAGGCTCGTTTTATTCCTTGTTTAAAGACTAATGACGTTTCACATGTTGCTGATCTTTTTGTAAAAGAGGTTGTCAAATTGCATGGTATACCTAGAACTGTTATTAGTGATAGAGATGCTAACTTTTTGAGCCACTTTTGGCGTGTATTTTGGGGAAAGTTAGGCACTAAATTGTTGTTTTCTACTTCTTGTCACCCACAAACTGAAGTAGTTAATAGAACCTTAGAAAACATGTTGAGGGTTGTTTTGAAAGGTAAATTAACTTCATGGGAATATCACTTGCCTATGATTGAATTTTCTTACAATAGAACAATCCATTCTTCTACAGGTATGTCTTCTTTTGAGGTTGTTTATGGCTTTAATCTCTTTACTCCACTTGATTTATTACCATTACCTACTAATAATATTGCTAATCTTGATGGTAGGACAAAAGTTGAGATGATGAAAAAAATTCATGAGCAAATAAGGCTTGCAATTGAGAAGAAAAATAAGCAAACTTTCTTGAGAAAGAATAAGGGCCGAAAACAACTTATTTTTAAACCTGGAGATTTAGTTTGGGTTCACTTTAGGAAGGAGAGATTTCCTTCCAAAAGGAAGTCAAAGCTGCATCTTAGAGGAGATGGCATTGAATAGAACTAGAAGGTGTAAAAGGTTTAGAGTTAAAGGTTTTACCTCCCTCTTTGTTCTCAAATTTACCTTTACCCTTGTCTTCTTGAGGTCTAGAAGAACTCTTCATCTCATGATATGGCCATGACTTCTTGGAGATGGTGCTTGTCCGACCTTTCCACGAGCTAGTCTGCTTTCTTTTATTTTGATTTTCTACCTTTACACACAAATCAACTAACTTATCTATTGTTACATATTGTTGTAATTCTACTACATCAGTTATTTCCTTATTTAAACCATTTAAAAACCTATCCATTGTAGCCTCTTCTTCCTCTGTACAATTAGCTTGGATCATAGCCATATCCATAGCCTCTTCTTCCTCTGTACAATTAGCTCTAGAGATGAAGTTTTTGTGTTGTAAATGGGAAACTTCAGCTCTAGAACTGAAGTTTTTTTATCACCTATTAATATTACATACTAGAGCTGAAGTTTT